TAGAGAGCTACTCATGGTTTGACAATTTTTAGAACATGTTTTCATAAATAAACTTCTCAGACAGGTCACTATGAAAAGACCTGCGGTTGGAAACAAACAAATTGCCCAATAGTGCAACCCTGACATTTGACTCGTAGATTAGCCACGGCTACTGTAAAATGATTTTACTAGAATATGAAAAACATTAACAAAGTCTTTCTCTTGGTCTCAGTGTGTCCAATTACTTCAAAATGCATCCACGAATAAATGGCAAAAGTATAACCAGACAGACATAAATGTACTTTTTTGACATTTAAGTATAATTTTCACCTTTCTGCTTTCATAGCTTCCAAAGATGCCACAAACAAGGCCTTAGGTATTTCAAAATCTATTCTTGAATGACAGAATTGATGACGAAATATGATCATCAATATACTTTCATGAAATTAAAAAAAAAAGGAGAAAAATAGAATCCCTAACACAAAACATATTGTCATTATGTAAAACATCGGTTTCATCATACATATATGCATGGTAATTTAAAAATCAATTCCGCAATAAGATAATAGTGACTACAGACCTAGATTTTGTGTATGACCTTTTGTCCAAACGTGCTTTAAATTTATACACAATTATTTTAAAAATAAATTCACGAATGGCAAAGTTATACACCGAACATAAAGTTGGTATGAAAGGACGGACGCCACCAAAATCATATCCCTTCTATTTTACTTTTTTGGGGTGGTTATAAAAAGTTTATTTATATTTGTTACCACAGTGCAAAACCTTTTACAATTTTCAAACCAATTTGATATGCTTATACTTAAATAAAATGCCATCATTACAAATCTTCGACGGAACTTTTTAGATTGACGAGAGGGATTTGAATGAAAAAATGCTTTTAAAACATAAAAGATGAAATGTCGAATACCTGTAAGGAACATATCATTTGGATTTTTGCAAAGTCTGATGAGCAAGAAGAGCTCAGCCTGGGTGAAATCCTGTGTCTCATCAACATAGATTTGATGTATTGTAATTGGAGTTGTTTCCATGTTTGCAAGTCGTCGGAATATATCATGGACAACATCGGTTTCATCAAACATTTGATGGTTTTTCTTGTAATGTTCATATAACAAGAATATATCATAAATGTCATCCCTCTGTCCAGAGAAATTTGGTGCTCTTTTTCTTCCCAACTCCATATATTCCTCTTTAGAGAGATAGCCGGTCTTTGACGACAGAGATTCATACGACCCCTTTATAAAATAAATAAACGCATGTACTAAAACTAACGTGTACATTATATTGAAGAAAAAAAAACCACAACATATCTTTAAAACAGCAGATCTCCAAAGTTTTTTTAAGCTTTTTGCAAACATCTTGTAAATGTATGTTAACAAGGAAAACTTTTATTGAATAAAGCACCTGATCAATATTTCAGCTTTCATATTTATCAAGTGTTATTTGATAAGCCGATGTCTTTTTACAATCAATGAAAAGTATAAGGTAAAAAAGGGCCCTATCGTACAAAGAATTTACCTTTATGAATGACATAATCTCTGTCCACACTAAGGATGGATGGTAGCCAGTTCTTGTTTTACTTTCTAGTTTACGCCACATTTCATTTTCAAAGACCTCATAAGTAACTTCTCTGTGGACGTCACCTTCTCTCTGCAAAAACGATGTTAGAAACTGCAACTTCTTTAACAAACAGAAAAACAAAATGACTGTAAAGATTTTAAGATAAAGTAATAAATCTGACACTTCTACTCGGCTAAAGTCTTTTGGAACAATACCAAAGATTGCCTTTTGAAAACGTTGGTAGTACCACTGTTAACATTTCAATGAGTAAGAATTAAATTTCGGCTACTGAGTGTACAATAAAAATTAGTAACCTTTTTCTTATCCGGTTCATTGTCACCACTTTCGGTTTCATCAAAACCATCTTCATCGTCAGAATCATAATCGAGAAAACGCAGATCAGTTAAACCTTCATCCGCCACTTCCCAACCATCAACATGGATCTGTATTTATATATAACAGATACATTTACACAATTTTTTAATAAAGGAAAATTTTAAAAAAATACATTAATAAATTTTAGGAAATTGTGTTTATTTTCTGAAGTCACCTTTCGGTGTAATTTCATCTCTCTTTCGAGGCTTTCTTTCTCATAATAAGTAATAACTACATGAAACTATATACTGTTATCTTAGTAAAACTTAAGTATACCATTTATTAATGACACTAGTATTTAAAATAAATACACATATTTTTCACAAACGTTATCATTAATTTGAATAACCTTCATAGATCCATCTTCTTCCCGTTTAAAAAATGGATCCCCAATGGAGGCGTCGAGTTTACATAGCATTTGTCTTGATGTAAGGAACAGTGGGTAGTCTTTTTCTTGCAAATCCTGAAGACGATTTGGCAAAAGTTGGTCTGAACCCTCGGTTGGCACTGCTGAAAAACTTACTTCAGCATTCTTAAAATCTCTGAACGTCTTTTTGACCTCAGCGGCAAGAACCTGGTTTTTAGTGATGAATACTTGATGAAAATGTTCAAACGCTTGTGTACCACAAGCTTGATCATTTTCATTTTCGACCTCAATACAATCTGCACTTGCTCCATTGTTTTTGTCTGAAAGTTAAACAATATTAAAGCTGTGCTGTGTTGAAATTAACTTTTAACAATCAAATAGTTACATACACTGTTTTTTAACAAATGAAAAACAATAGAAACGTTTATTTTTTGTTCATTTTTATCGCAACACTAACTCAGTGGAAGTCACAGGCGACTTTAGAGCTTAAGCAGAAGAGGAATGCCTCGGGTATCCCTCTGTGCATAATATCAGGTACGAACGGGTACCTGAGGAGACCGACGTTCCGTAAGATAGCTGAATAGATTTTTTACATGAAATAATTCAAAGTCCCTGATGGGATAGAACACACAGCGGCGGGGAGCGTGTTGTTGACGTCAAAGACATTTACACCACGGCAACCAACACACTCCTTATTGAGACGTCAAAAGACACATGATATCTGACAGACAGCTTGGTGTATTTTACAGCAGTATGGATTAGAATTATACATTCCCAACAAGAATCATTGACAACGAATATGTGAAATCGAAAAAGTAGTCATTTGAAATTGAAAATATGTCAGCATCTTACAAAGCGTTTTATAGTTTAATATTGAGTTACTCTTTTCAATTGTGCAAAGGTATAAACAATTATTTTGACAATTCAGTTTCTCGAACATCTCATGAATAATCGGTTATGCTTACAGTGCAATAAAATAAAATAAAATTTATTTGTTCATTTGTAAGAGATCAATAATTGACTAGTTACAAAAGTTGAATTATTTACCGATGCAGTCATCGTTTTGGTGACATTGTGTCGATGATGACCCTGGCAGAAGTGGGTCTTCGATTCGCCTATTGATCCAGTATAATTTGTACTGACTCCAAAGTCGATATAAACAGCAAGTCGTCTTCCCTTTAATACAGATAAATGAAAATCTTGAATACTGAACGGAATTAAGCATCCATAAATTATAGTAGCAATATGACAGGCCTATGCCAAGCAAGAAGTAAGTATACTAACACGTGCTATCAAACAAGACACAAAACTCTTAATGGCGTATATTTTAAGAAATTAACATTAAATACATATCCAAACTAAAAGCAGGCAAATGTAGCAAAGTAAGGTTTCGTTTGTTTGTTCGGGTTAAACGGCGACACTTCAATAAAAGAGATATTTGAACATATAAAACAGTTTTAGAAACAGACCACTTGATTTCATCTTGATTTATAGTAAAGTCAGTTAGCTAAAATTGTACAAAAATACATACTTGTTGACCAAAAATGGAACAAAAGACAAAAATGAAAGCAGAAGATCAGCCTGGAACATTCTAAGTTAGAGAAGAGCAATAATGCAGAAATATCCAATTTAAGGTCCTGAACATTGACCTATAATAAACGTCTTCTACATGTTCAATTTGATGATGTATAATGTTGCATGTAAGCCTTTACCAAGTGTCACACAATTGCTTGTACAAGTAGCAAAGCTCCATCTTGCAAAAACGAAACAAAAAAAAAATAGTATCTTTTATAATACCTGTTCCACTGCGACCAAGTAACAAAATTGCTTCTTTCCCACTCAAATTGATCACAGCGTGTTCTAAATCAGTGACTTTGAATGGAAAGTCAACCTTGACATCACTATTCTGTAGGAAGTGTTTAACTAGCGGTGTGTCCACGGGATAAAATTTGAGAATATGATATTCTGTTTCATTTGAACTTGCGGGTGGGATATGTTGCACCTGAAAAATATTATTGTGAAATGTGGACTTCTTTATAGACAAAAGTAACTAAAATTGATATACGTTTGAACGTGTGTTTATCATTTATCAAAATTCTAAGCTCTTGGCTTTGTAGTTTCAAATAATAAGACTTTTCTTATATGAGTTTATATGAATCAAATGACCCTGGGTACGCCCACTGGAATGATTAACACCAGGCTCACAATGTTATGCTATATACATTAGATCTTGGAATTGTAGCCTCACAAATATAACTGAAATGAGCTTTCTTATACACATCGTGTTGTTTTAATAATTTTTCTGCTAAAAAGATTTAATCTCTTTCTATCAGTTCAAAAGATACAGTACGAAATTTTAAGATTGGTTCAAAAATACTAAGTGTGACGGGGCAATATTGACCAAATGCGACATGACTGATACCGGTTATGTAGAGGCCAAAAACGCAATGCTTCCTGTCAAATATCTAAACTCCAGGAATTGTTATTTCACTAAAATAAGATTAAAATGTATTTTTCTACACAAAACCATATTAACGATAAAGGGGCATGATTAATATCTGTTATTTTGTGATGCACATGTGATGTAACATGGGAAATATCTTAGCTCTAGACATCGTAGTTTTACACTATGGAACTATGAAATATGTTTTCTATACATGTTTATAAAAATCAAGTAATCCCTTGGGCAGATCAAATTTTGGTCCCTGCAAATCGTCTTGTTATACTCATTTTATTTTTCTGCTTAAAAGTTTTAATTTCTGTTACAGTTCAAAAGAATGCAGATTGGTGCAAAATGACTAAGTGTGACCTTGAACCGATTAACGTTAAGCCTGCGTTCTACACAGACTGAATTATTATTGTTAACAATTCTGACAAGTAGTTTCAGTTTCGTTCCATCGGGTCAGAAGATACAGAGCGGACTTGACTGCTAACAGACAGCCGGACAAAATTAGTCCAATTCATGTATGAATTGAACATAAATACAATTTTACAATTCCGCATTGTTAAAGACCTAGGTTGCCCCTTGTTCCGTTACTTCATTTACAAACGAGCATCCGAGTCGAGCTCAGAGCGTGCCACACGCTAGCTTAAAACTTCATCAGTTAAGGATTCAAGTCCAAGGCGGAATTAGTGGCCATAGCGATATGTGCAACTGAATAGAGTCAACAACCGTAACAACTTGGCCAGTGGCGGCCCTTTTCGGGTACTGCAAGGGTAATGGTATTTTAGTAATGAACAATGATGTGCTTCAACTGCTGATGTGAGAAACTTACCTGCTCTAGTTCTTGGAGGTTTTGGGATATTTCTGGTTCATTTTCGGTAAACAATAAAGGATATGTTTTGTCAAATGTTTTACGGCGTTGTTCATTTTCTTTTTTCAAACCTTTCAGTTTTCTTTGTATGATACAGGTATTGCCACGTTGGTGGGAGCGCTTAATGTTTTCGACCGATCTGCAAATAAATGTTTGATTAAATATTTATAATAGCAAAAGCAGATAAGAATACTTTGTTAACATTTTATATTGCTCCTTGGTTTCATACATTAACATTCTGATCTGTCAAAGTGTAACTGAAATATAATCCATGTTTTGACATATAATATAAAAGCAGGCATGGGTCAATGAGCAAGAAACGTTACACTCATTGTGTAGTACTGGTTGCTTCCAGGAACAGAATTGAAAATGTTTCAAAAGGCTTATATCTTCCAACATAATTTAACTAAAAATTAGTATAATTTAAAGACTTAACTAAACTTAAAACAATGAAAATCAAAGGCAATAATTGTATTCCTCTTTACATGAAACTGGCTGATTTTATATGGCAGATATTATAAAATCTCTTTTTTGTTCCTGCCTGTTACGGGTTTGAGTACAGTAAACGAAAGCGATGCCATGTATTTGTTCAATCAGATATTCACGAAACATCCGTTTTATTTTCTGTATGTTACCTTTCAATTTTATCATGGTCCATCACAACGTCCCAAACCCGGATCAGCTGTGAGTATATTCGTCCACCGCGGACGCAATGAGCAGCACCCTTTTTGGAAGGGTTTAATCTATTGTCAGCAGTTTCACTACATCTCGATGAGAAACTAATTGCATTCTCCCAAATAATTCTTCGACCTGAGACAAAAAACACATCAAATTTTAAAAATGCAATATATTCATTTAATGTAACATTAAAACCCTGACTTTAAAATTATTATAAAATAATACTGTTATTACTTTTCTAGTTCATAATATTCTGCATTAAAATAAGTGTAAGCTGTGTATTTACGAAGATGATTGTCGGTCTTATTTTTCTGATGTTTTCACCCGTAATTAATCAGTGCCTATAGTAAATATTTACACACATATTCATAAAAAATATATAACAGTCCTAGGCTTATAATTAGTGAAGTATCAGAAGTATTTACCTTTGCTCAATTTTGCCTCAAATAACATAATTGACTTTGGAACATTTTTAAGCTGTTTGCATAAGTGCCGTTGCCAATCACCGCTTGCTAACATCTTTATAATCCTAACTATTTTGCGCTTCAATTTCGGTATCACTTGTTTGTCTTCTAATACCTTAAGTACTTTATCTGTACATTCAACCTCCCATGGAAGATTTTCAAACTGAAAAAAAATCGCATCTATTAAGACAAAAATATTTGAATTTCATATAAATATTCTAGACAGCCATTTGAACAATCGAATATTCAGACCTTAAATTTGATACAGTTAAAAAAAATCTTAAAAAAGGTGATCCCTCGGAACCATTAATCACAACAAAATCCAATGAAAATTGCAGACTCCGTTTGATTGAGTCTGTACATGAGGGATAATGAAAATGTGCATCATTCCCATGTCCCCTAACACCGGCTTGAGCAGTACTCAATTTTCAACACTTAAACGTGCTGGGACAAATGATCCCGAAGGTCCAGAAAAAATAACAACACTCAAGTGAAGTACAGGGCAATTTTTTAAAACTGCCACATAGCACTTGCCACCTGCCGTTGTGAAGTATAAAAATCTGGAAAAAGATGATCCCTCGAAAGCATTAATCACAACAAAATTACATGAAAATTAAGGTACATTTATTTTTTCAATGTCAATCAATATAAACATTTCGTTTATGTAAAAAAAGCTCCAACTGAATGTTTTTTTTTAATACAATTTTTAACACTATGAATAAAACTCCGAGCAATGACAATAACGTATTAAAGTTACCATGTTCTGTTTATCCAAATCATGTTCCAAGTCATCACGTACCAAAAATGTTTGTGCTTGTGGTGTATCCGTCGCATCATCCTCGTCTGAATCAAGCGAAGGTGGGTCAGACATGTCATTGCTTTCTGAATCAGACACATCTGATTCCCTTACGTCACTTTCCTTTAAATCGTTTTTTTGAATATTATTGTCACCTGTACAATCTTCAAATGTTTGATTTTGTTCAGCCGTGTGAATTATTTCTACCATGTTATCACCTTTTTCCGACGAACACTTTGCTGCACTAACGTGATCAGATCCAAGACTCAATAATGTACTGTTATTATTACTCACATTCATATCTTCTTCATTTTCTACTTCTACCATTTCTTGTTCATTTCTAACAGTGACTTTCTCATCAATTAGCACGTGCAAGTGGTTTGGGTTATCATCAACAATACTTTCATTACGTTTAATTTCAGCATTATTTTGTCAGACAACATCATTCACTTCTATATATTCAGGAAGCAATGATAGAAGATATTCAATATTTTTCCTTGACTCTTGTATTTGTTCTTTTCGTGATTTAGGTTTCGGCTTGTGTTCTAGATCAAACTCATGTGCTCCTGTTGTTGAATCATTTTTATCTTCTTTTTCAAAAGTCTCATACGCAACCTGTTTTCTTGATGCTTTTATCCTTGAAGCATTTTTGAGATAATCAAGTAAACGAAAATGCTTCTTTTTTACATATTCGCTAGGATATTTCTGTTCTTTATTATAGAAATAAGCGGACACATTGTAATCACAAAGTATCTCTGTGATTTGCAGAACCATATCGGAGTAACCCGATTTTGTTAAAAGGTGATATATACAGTCACCATTAACATCAACCTGTTCTGGGTCAAGGCAGGAATATTTATCTTTGTCAGTATTCCACTTGTTTAATAAATCTTCTATAAACTTTGACTCTGAAAAAGGAGAAATGCTTATGAGATTCAAATTAATTCAGTCTTGACTTAACTCGGTCACGAAAATTTCAAAAAGAAAGACAAACTACTTGTTTTTGTTTTCAGTGTTATGTGTTTAATGCAAAGTGGCAGGATTGTATTTTGTGAATCTTGAACAAGATAAACAAACATGTACAGCATTTTTAATAAGTTTGTACGGAAATAACAATGCCCAAGTGACGATTATGTTTAAACTGATTGTAAATAATTCAAAATAAAATAAAATATTTGCAACAAGAACAGTTCTTACCGATTCTGTTGTATATGTTTCTTCAAATTATTTAAATATTTTATATTTGAAAGGCTTATACCATAGCATTCAACTACCAGTCAGTTTATTTCACTTGGTAAAAAAGATAAACGAGGGAGTCTGAATACCAGCCGAGGCATAATAAATTATTAAATCTCTTTTTTAAAGACATGCATGGTACGCCGAATCAACTGTAATAATTACAATTGTGCAACAAATTTAAGCTCATAAAGATGAGAAAAATTTGGATTATATTACCTGTTACTTCAAGTGCAACTTTAATCAGAGCATGTATAGGTGTATCACCTTCTTGTAGAGTAAAATCCGACACGTCTGCACCCCGTTTAATGAGCTCAACACTCAATTTGAACTTTTTCAAGTCAACAGCTTTCTTCAAAGTCACTTTGCCATCTAGAATTTGACAATACAAAATATTCTTAAGCAGACTTAAGTACACACACCATATTTGATATAGAATGACATACAAAAAGTATTACAATAATATTATTGTAAGATTAATAAGATAATAAATATCATTTACATAATATCATGTAGAATAGGCACATTTTGAAATCGATCTTGTTTGACACATGTTGACCCGAATATATAGTCAGTTACATTTTGGAAATGACACAAATTAAATTAATTTGGAAAATTAATGACAATCTGTATTATTTTTCAGTCATGCATTTGTTTGCCTTACTTCCATCTCCAATGCTCCAACCATTATTTAGTAGGAAACAAATGTTTTCAAATTCTTCATCATCTGAAACGGATTCTGTGGCAACAATTAAAGGCTCCACCGTAAATTTTGATGTAAATTCTGAAATAACAAAAGCATCCATGTAAAATTCAATTTATTTCTTATTCGCATTTTATGCAATTGTCACATTACAAATGATCATGGGGTTCGTTAAAAGCATATACTTCAGGGCGATTTGTTAAAAATATCATTTAGGGAACTCCACTGACGTTTAAATGAATAAAATACAAAAAAGATTACGATTATGGTTGTTGAAATAATATGTCATCAATCTTGCATAAATACAATTCCTAGCAATAACGAAGATATCACATTTGTATATCATACACTATTTTCAAACAAACAAATTGCAGTTACAACTCATAATATTCATTTTATACAATACAAACAATATCGTCTGTTCGTATATATTTATTGTTTTCGAATTTTATAATATTTACTTTTCAGATCGTTGTCTACAAACTTCTTATTGAACGCTTTAACTGTCAGAATTAATGGAGCCCACTTTTGCACTAAAAACAGCCCTTCCATAATCATATAGAACTTTGCTTTTCTCAGTGGGGAAAGGAATGTTGTTATATCTGTAAAAAATGTATTGTATTGTATCTCAAAGTTCTCGAGTCTTTTCATTTAATACATGCGAGAATAAAAACTTATATAATAATGTATTTGAAAAATGACATATTGATACTGTATAACAATTGTTAAATAGCAATGGTTAACAGTTTAAGAACTTAATATAGCATATTTCTAATCAGTCCAACAAGAAATCTTGCAAAACGTACTCTTAAACTATGTTCTTTCTATTATTTACCTTCTGGACTTTCAAGATACTTTACTAAATCATCTACAACTTTCTTTTCAATTGAAGTATGAAATGTGTTTAAATGGTCCGAAGTCAAAATGTCTGTCATTGCTTTCAGACCACCTGTCTTGTCTGTTGATATAATTTCGAGCGCCTTTGAGTGTTGTTGCTCACATTGGTCACATTTACGTCTTCTCTCTTTCTTACCCTGTTGCATAGCATTTTTTCTGTTAGGATGACTTCTGCTTTCATTACCGTTAAACATTTTCTTTTGATTGCCTGTTAAAATGGGATGATCAGTTACATAGACATTCATACATTATTTCGGACATATATGTAATGAATTCAATGAAACTAAACATTCGTTTATGTACTTTCTTATCACGTTTTTGTTACTAGCATCCTCATTACCTTCATTTAATATATAAAGTTTCTTGCATATCAGACAGGATTATCTACAGTTTACACCGGTATTAGACAAACCAGTCAAGACAATTCGTGTGCGTTAAATGACTTCTTTCTAGCGCGCCATTTATAAATGAATAATGTCCTTAGGATGACGTCAAAATGCCGTTATTAATGAAGTTGTAAATTCATACTCTGCCATAAGAAGTGCTAAAAACGCAAATATTTTGTCATTTCTTTTCAAAATATGATAAATATGTAATATGTAAGAAAAAGAAACAAATAGTTTGTCATTGACACTGATGTCTAGCTTTCGGGTATCTGTTTATTAGAAACTCCACAGAGCCTCATTACTGCCGTAAACAGTTACCCTCGAGCCGGAAATTCCAGTCTGCATCGGCAGTTGGTGTAAGATTCTTATTGTAAACATCCTAGATGGAGTAAAATTTTATAACTTAAAATATAACAAAGTCGGGAAATACTGACAAGATAAACTAATAATTTGCATTTACGAACACAAGACTTAATAAACATATTGTTTACCTGTTGTTTGTTTCTGTATGCTTTCTACTATAAGTTCTCTGTTCTTTTTTTCACCAGATAGATATGAGTAGGCTGTCCTCTTATCATTATTCAGTTTCTGTGCATCTATGCCATATTCCAGTAGTATTTTTATCACGCCAAACCTTCGTTTAATACAAAATGTCATATTATTACTAGATAGAAAGTACATATAACTATATGCCGAACTACCCCATTCTTAATTCAAAGCATTATTTCCATTTATACTGTAACAATAAAAAATTCAAAATGCAGAATTCGTTATCATGTTATTGTTTGAAAGAATGTTTATGTCATTATTCACCTTGCACGCCTATCAACTTTTCTTTCCTTCGTTGCTATATGAAGCAATGTATTACCAGCCTGGTCACACACGTGAAGTTCGTTGGCATTTGTATTCTTTATCACATATGCTAATAAGTCTGGAAAACTAGCTGAAAAAAAGTACCATTACACATATATAAATGTTTCTGATTTGAAAACAAGAAGGCTTATCTGTAACAATTGCTAAAAACTTATTATTTTTTTACAATGCAGATTTTTAAATTTGTCCTGCTCATTTTGTACCCATTTGGCATGATTTCTGAAGCTGTTTCAGAGGTCCACAAAGTAATGCCTTTTAGTTCTATAAAAGTATATTTCATTTTTTCCATCATGCATAAAAATAAATGAGTGTTTGAGTCAGATGTGATTGTTTGAGTCAGATGTGATAATCTGACAGACGTTGCTTTTCACAAAAGACAAATACAATTTTTAATCTTTTGCTGCAAAACCAAACCCGAAAGCCTGTCAGACATTTTTGCTTCATCACATCTTTGTGTTAAATACCGATTAAAGCAAATATCGATTAAAGCAATATCGTTTTGTTGCGACAACCAAAGGCCTTTACTCTTAAGGTAATGAAAGATTATGCCATTGTAAATTAAGCAGCTGAACAAGAGTATATCTTACCGACTAACGATATTCTCACTGAAGCATGTAGGTATGTGTCACCTGGTTCAAGTGATATAGCTTTCCTATCTGATTCACAATGTAAGAAATACAGCATCATATCAGCAGACCATGGATGACTCTGTTTGGAAATAAAGTTACAAGATTATAAGTTTAAACAGGGCATAAAAGTCATAAGACATATAGAGTTTCTATACTACATTATATTTTAAATTCCATTCCAAAAATATCATATGTATCGTGCGTACTGCAAACATTCGTTGATTTGAAATAGTGCATCTTAAAAGTATGAATATACTGTCTGAGCTCTGTCTTGTACCCGGTCCTGTTTTTGTTTGGGGTCCGTCTGGGCTCCTTGCCACTGGTTCTTGTTGCTGGGTCGTATGGGGGTTGCGTTCATTGAACGCCGCCTTTTCTTGTTGATCTTGTTTATCATATGTTAAAAACAGACATAGTTAAAGTGACTTGAACCGCGTATGCCTATGTTTTCGCATTATTTGATTATTTGTTGGAATTAGTTCTAAATTTTATAAAATGAATTCTAAATGTCATGAAATGAATTCTAATTTAAAATAAGTCAAGCAACAGCAGCAGCAGCAGCAATCTACTTCCATGAATACTTTTATAGAAAAGCAATGTACATAAAGACCAAAAGAATGTTACTAATTTGTTTCAATTATTTTATAATGATGAACGATAATCTACCAAAGATTACTCCATTTACTTTACATTGTATTGTTTCACATTCTTACAAAACTGTATCAAATACAACATGTAGTTCAAATATAGATAAATAATATATATAAACGATTTTACCCTGATATCATTTAAACTACAAAAACACGCTACGTTAATTTGTATCTTAGGTAGAATATTCTGGTCATATTTGATCAGGCTGTGTGCTATTTTTCCAGTTTTCCATTCGTTTTGGAGCACAAATTTATGACAGATCCTAGCCCATAAAGGTCCATTTCCAGGCAAAGTTGTTGATATTCTTTGAATCATATATGTACCTAAAATAAGTGTTAAATAAATAAGAGATATATTGTGATAAATAAGAAGGTATAAAAACGTTTTAGAACCATAATTATTTGTATTATAAGAGCATTCAGTTGTTCCACTTATTTTACTTATTTTCGCTTTTAATGGCAAAGTACAGAGTAGATTAACTTCATATCATCGTTGTTACCGACTAATATAAAATATTTACATGTCCTTTACATATAATTATATTAAAACCCATATCTCAATATATTAATTTCGTCGATTCCTAGTAAATTCTTGTTATATCCCCCGAACAAATCATCTCAAAGTATAAACTTGAATTGTGTGATGTCACCCCTTCCTTTTCAATAAATAAAACATTATCATGGAGAGTGCTCAACATTTACAGAAGCTTGCATAACTTAAAATAATGAGGGGGAGAAAGACAACCCGATAATACATAACAAATATTACATGTAATACATCGGTACAGGATAAAAAGTATATTCATCACTGAATAAGCATTTAAGATAAAAAGTAAACTCATGTAGATCATGAACCTTAACCTCAGGTTTCTAACTAACTGTGTGTTTCACTCTCACTCTCTAAGACAAATTATCATAGAGGCAAAATCATAAATTATCAATATGACACTTACTTTGCTTGTTTGGTAGCTGGAACAAAAACTTTACTATTTCCTCACATACATCAAGTACTTGTGATGTTGTACAAGCTCCAGCATAATGAAATGCATTGATGAAATCGTCAAATGCATGATCATATCTTTCCAAATTTGTTGATGCCTTAGCACGTATCAAAAAAACCTGTTGACCAAATGAACGCGCTGACTTTATCAATATCAAGTATTAATTCCTTTGAATGAGAGCAATTTTGAAATAAAGCTATTAATATAAGTAGACAATTAGATAATTGTTAATTCATGAAAGGAGACAGGATAAAACAATATACATATAAACATCAATGTCTTAAATCTGTCATAGGCATTTATTTAATCTTACTAGCTCAATGAGAGATTTTAAAAGAAAGACATAAATGTCACAAGATTTCATCTGCAAATAGTTGCAGTTCATGATATGATATGCTATGATATGATATATGACTTGATACATACATCATAACTTGGCACAATCTTTAAACTTCTATTTGCATCGTTCAGTGCCTTATTAGAGTCTCCGATCTTCAGATAACTGTCAGCTCTGTTTTTCAGTGTAAATGCATGAATGTCCTCATGCCCCTAAAATAAATTAGAGAATAGATTACAATCATCTTACATCATTGGTACACAATATTATCACTACAGTTACAACATAAAAAAAATTCTGCATTGAGCAGGAAACGAAATCCATAAAGATTGCAAAAGAACCCTGCAAATTTAAAATGCTGCAAGCTTAACCCTGACCCTGCTACATACCTTAAATGAACTTACCAATCTTTCGATGTCTGGACTACCAATCATTTTCAGATAAAATTTCAATATAAGTACTGATCGAATAATAAGTAGTGCATACAATATTCAGACACCACGGTCTCTGCTAGCAGTTTGAATTCTGTTGTATCAATAAGTTTTATTGCATTGAACATCGTATTGTCATTATTTCAATGTGTCAATTAAAATGAAAACCTTAACGACAAAAAGAAATTGATTTGAAAATAGTGTTAAACCTATAATTATTCTGGTGAGAAAAAAAATATTTATAGTCCACGAAATGCTGGTAGATCATCCACAAAAGTACCCTTACAGTCCACAATGTATCAAAATATGAAAACGCTAGTAAAATTGAATGATATGCATGCTATAATGAAAGAATTACAACAATACAAATTACCATGAAGTGATCTCTTTTAATTGTGAGAAGGATTTTGCTAAATATGTAAATCGCATTTTCATGTTCGTTGTTTTCATTCTTCTTTTTTCCGATATCGCATAGTCTACGAACGTGCACATGTTCTATAGCTTAAAAAATAAATATTTATATATAATTTATTAATATATTAACAATAATAATACACCTGATAAGATTCCTAATATTACATGTCAGTATAATTTCTACTTCTTATCTAAATGTTTGTAATGCTGAAAACACAAAATAAGTACAATATTATTGCAATAACTGTCGTAGAGATATCGTATATCTATTTTTAAGTACTTAAATATCAAAGCTCTAATAAAGCCAGATTTAAAAGTATTCTGGTATCAAAATTTTAATAATTTAACGGAATATAGGGAAGAGCGTCTTTTGGGACCATTTTTAATCGAGGAAGCATGATTTATCCTAGTTTTGCATATGGCCGTTATTCAATGCTATATGCCAAATATCTTAGCTATAAAATTCAGCTTACTTTTGTTGTCTGGAAGAAACAAGTCGTATATACGACACGGATAATCATCATGGAGATAATCATATGGGATCTTCCCCTTCTTATCCTTCCTTAGCACGTCACTGAATTAAACAATTAAATGTCCAAGTTAATTGTGACGAGTTAACAAAATACATTTCAAATTCATTTGGCAATTACAACCTCCAGTTACCGATACAAATCGATACAAATAGCATTTTAATCAAGAAAATCAAGTGACTGCAAAACAGTAAATAAATAAAATAATCAAGAGCTGTCACGCAAGTGACAAATGCCCCCGAAAAGGTTTCTTAAGCATGCAGGTATTATGAAAAGAAAAGAGAATGAAAGTCACTAATTGCTTAATATTGTTCTTGTGGATGAAGTATTATTTATAGCAAACTTAACACATTGGCACAAGGGTATTGGACGCGACACAACATCTTGATGTGGTAAACATTTATGCCAAGTTATTTTAAAAACCTTTAATGCATGACAATGTTACAGTTTGGAAACTAATGTGTAACTTGAAACTCTTCTAATGAGCATAAGCACCTTCAAACTATAAGAGTGAACTTGACCTTGGAGATAGGAACATGGGTCTTATACACAACATGTCATCTTGATGTGGTTGCCATTTGTGCCAAGTTATTTTAAAATCCTTCGATGTATGACAAAGTTATAGTCCGGACACAAATATGTGTACCTATAATCTCTTATTGTGATAGCGTGAACCTTCAGACTGTATGTGTGACTTTGACATTTGAAAAAGGACGTGATTTTTGGACGCGACACAACATTGTCATGTGATAGACATTTATGCATAGTTATTTCAAAATCCCTCAATGCAGGACAAAGATACAGTCTGGACATGTTGTTGTGTAAATGGGGACAGACAGACGGACGTGAACCTTGGCCACGGCACATCGTCTTGATGTGGTTGACATTTGTGCCAAGAAATTTTAAAATCCTTCCATGCATGAAAATGTTACAGTCCCGACATGAATGTGTACCTTCAAACACTTCTGGAGAGAATGAATACCTTCAAAGAATGAGTGCGACCTTGACCTTACATGAGACATGTGGTCTAAATAAGGTTGACATTTATGCATAGTTATTCTAAAATTATTCAATGCATGACAAAGTTACAGTACGGACACCATTGTGTCTATCTATAAACTCTAATTGTGATAAAGTGAAGTTCAAAATGGTACTGTGACCTTGACCTTTAAGGTAGGTACGTGATTCTAAGAGGTGGCACGTCATCTTGATGTGGTAGACATTTATGCCAAATTATTCTAAAATCCTTCGATGCATGACAAAGTAACAGTCCGGACACAAATGTGTGTATCTAAAGACTCATATTGTGATTAAGTAAAACTTAAAAATGTTAGTGTGACCTTGACCTTTAAGGTTGGGACGCGATTCTTGGACGCGACACCTCGTCTTGATGTGGTAAACATTTATGCCAAGTTATAGTAAAATCCTTCGATGCATGACAAAGTTACAGCCCGGACACGATTGTGTGTACCTATTAACTCTAATTGTGATAAAGTGAACTTAAAAACAGAAGTGTGACCTTGACATTTGAGGTAGGGACGTAATTCTTAGACGCGACACATTGTCTTGATGTAGTAGATATTTTGAAATTATTGATGCATGACAAAGTTACAGTCCGGACACGAATGTGTGTACCTATTAACTTTAATTGTGATAATGTGAAACTTCAAAATGTAAGTGCTGCCTTGACCTTTGAGGTAGGAGCGTGATTCTTGAATGCGACACATCGTGGAGTCCGGACACCAATGAAGTGGGGACGCACAGACGGACAGACAGTGCGATTTTAATATGCCTCCCTTCGGGGATCATAAAAATAAGAGTGACAAATAATTATATTTGTGTATTCTTTTAAAGAACTGAAATAAATCTTATTGAGGGAGCACTAATTTAACAAGCAATTATCATAGTAATGCAAGCAATTCTTAAGTCCCCTACTGGTTAGAACCATAGCAAAATTCTGAAGGGTCATTGGCCATTCACTTGTATTTTTATTTTGGAAATGTTCTTTAAAAGTGATCACAGGAAACATTTTTTATGAACAGACAGACAGAGAGACTAAAGGACACTCTAAAATTAATTTTTTATACATCCCTGTTACCAAAATATAACATTTTTAAAAGCAAATTCTTAAAGAGGAGATAACTCTTGAAACAAAGATGAAAGACGTCATACATGATGTAAGTGTAACGAAGAACAATTAGTAATGAAGGTGTTGATAATGATTTATTCTTTTGAATTTGAAGTAAAAGAAAGTTCAAAGAATGAATAAGAAAAATTCAAAGTTTAAGGAGGAGATAATTCTGGAAATATGGATGCTAGATTTGTAAACCTTGTCATATTATTATGATGTGGGAGTTTGAAGTAAATCCTATAAGTAATGAAGAAATTGGAGTAAAATATACCAATTTCTCGATAAAAATCTAAGTTCAAGGGGGACATAATTCTGGAAATAGATTTGGTCCATGATGGCACTGAAATCGCTCAGCTGTATATAGGGCCCTGGGCCAAGGCCATTTTTAAACCAGGGGCTCTTATTTGAAAAACTTTGGTAGACACCAATTAGAAGATGTTTTATGATAAATATATAAGCTCTAGCTCTTTAGGGTTTTTAAAAGAAGATTTTTAAGCTTTTACTATATACATATAGGAAAAAACAATGACCCCCTGTGAGGGGCCTATTTTGACCCCAGGGCTTTTATTTGAACAAACTTGGTAGACACTCACTAGAAGATATTTAATGCTTAGTATCTAAACTCTAGCTCTTTGGGGTTTTTATAATTTTTTTACTATACACATATAAGGAAAATCCATGACGCCTGGGGCGGGGCCAATTTTAACCCAAGGGCCCTTATTTGAACAAACTTGGTAGACACCCGTTAGACGATGTTTCATGATAAATAAATAAGCTTTAGCTCTTTAGGGTTTTTGAAAACAAGTTTTCTTTAAAAATTTTACTATATACATTCAGGGAAAAGCAATGACCCCCCGGGGGCGGAGCCATTTTTTACCCCAGGGCTTTTATTTGAACAAACTTGGTAGACACCCACTAGAAGATATTTTCATGCTTTATATCTTTATATTGACGAGATTGCCGACGTTTGTTAAGTATTACTCCCTATAAAAGGAAAGAAAAAGACAAGCATAATCTCCAGACTGCCATCTACCCATATTTCAAGTGTCATAAAAATATTTTTATTACTTTTTGCATAATCACTAGATCCAGTTTATGTGTAAAATTTGCCATATTTTCAGTCTATACGTGTCATAGCATTTCTATACTGCCATCTATTCATACATCAAGTTTCCAAAAAATATTTTTAGTACTTTTTGCGTTATCACAGTATCCAGTTTTGTGGACGGACGGAGTGAAGTGCGGACTGACGGACGGAGGGTAAACCTAAAGTCCCCTCCGGTAAACCGGTAGGGGACTAACAAGAGATGTTTGTGAAACACTTATGCATCCCGGCAGTATACATTATGGGCAGAGTACATGGAAATAAAACTTGCCTTCTGAGGGGTCATCTACCAGTACTATCTGAGATGCATCAACCTATCAAGTCTTATGTGTCTAAGCTAAAAAGATTTTTGACTACAGGAGTCGCACAAACCTTGGTTGTCATATTAGACCATTAGAAAGGTTTGACAGTACTTCTAAGTTATAAATTATTATAAATAACCATATTTAACCAACTTAATTTTTATTGTTTTCTTTATTTCATTTAATCAGAAGACCTCTATAGTTAAAGAGTGACATAGTAGTGGTCGGAGTAATATGTTGGATGTGCATAGCAGGAATGGTATGTGCTTAGCAAACCTTATGCTAGATATATACATGATCAAAACATGAGCCATGGATATGCGTCGCAAACTCTGCGGGACATAATACATAATAATTAATCGGTAGCGTGTCGTGAATAGGTATGCACAAGCTTGTATGTATAATTCCATTTTTTTATTTCACATTTCAAATATATGTTTAATCAATTTACTGTGTTTTTTTGTCAGAGTTTTACTGTATTTTCATGCATTTAAGACTTCATCAAATCATGATATCGCGACGTTTATTCTGAAAGAAAGTTCATAGAAGATGAAGGCATAAAGAAACATGATATTTGCATAAGTGGTGATATCAAAACTACAAATCTATTGCAGTCAAAGACAAATTGTTAGCTAGAAGATATGCTTGCATTTACTCAACTTTTCTATTATATCTTTCAAAAGATATATGTACTTGTAGCACCGGTTTTAATACCACAAAACAGCCTTACGAATTTTTTTTTTAGAGGATATTGATTGCTTTCGTATCAAGAAAGTAAAAAAAACAACCAATTTGGCAAATCATGTAAATTAAACACGTACATATACATTGTTGAAATGGCATACTGGAATATAGGTCGATAGCAAACCGAAAATATGAATAAAATAGAGAAAAACAGAATCCCTAAAGAAAGTCCAACACAAAAAAATTGAAAATGTTGCAGGCTCGGTTTGACTGAGCCTGTTCATGAACGGTACTGGAAAGTGCAAGTTATCGTCCACGCCCCCTAGCACCGGCAGAATTCAACATTTAACACGAAAATGGTGAAATTTTGAATTTAGAAACATCTGCAGATGTGTTCATACGGCGGTAATCATGGAACCTTCAATGTGACACAGTAGTGCAATTCCATGAAAAGAGGCGTATGGTCCCCAAGTAAAAGAATATTTTTGCCCTAAACGAGAAAACAATGGGCGGAACTAAATAAAATGGGATTTTGAAAGGGGATCTGAGGTTATGAAGCCTGCATATCAGAGATAAGACGTCAAAAGACAAATTTAAAAAGCAGGTAACATATCCTTAGGGTGATTATACAGTATTCAAGTAGGAGTTTACATTGTATTCCATATATAGACCTTACTTGTATTCTTTCATCAAGAGCATTCCCGCCATTTTGTCAAGGAAATCGGCCGCAAGTTTGTTTTTGGCTAGAATGTGAAATCCTGATTCCTCTGCTCCACGTTTATCACACCAACCTGACCCATTTTGAGGAAATTTTTCCAGAAGTAATGTCGAACCTACAAGTACAGACAGTTGAATAAGTATTGCAAATACAGTTTCAGACTAAACATCTCAGTTTGTATGAGCTCAATTAAAAAAGTGATTTATACATTACAAAACTGCAGCATTATAATTATATAATAAGAAAATGCTTTAATGGATAAATACATAATACACATAACATCAATTTTGATATGTTTTGTGAACACAAATGTATTTGACATTGCATTTACGTCTGGAACAAGAGTTGTCGCACAAAAGTGATGCCCCAGAAAAGGTTTTGTAAGTATTGCAGAAAGGTATTATGAAAAGAAAAGCGAATAAATGTAACTAATTGCTTGATATTATTCTTGTGAAATCAAAAGAATGAAAGTAACTATTTGCTTGATATTGTTCTTGTGAAATGAAGTGCTATTTATAGAAAACTCACCACATTGACCTGGAGGTAGGTCCATAGATTGGACGCAACACGTCGTCTTGGTAAATTAGACATATATGCTTAGTTATTTAAAAATCCGTTCATGCATGACAAAGTGACAGACCGGAAACGAATGTAACCTTTAATTTCTAATTGTGAGTATGTGAACTTTCAAACAGTAAGTGCAACCTTGACCTTTGAGGTAGGAACTTAGACGCAACACTTGATCATGCATTTGTGCAAAGTTATTCTAAAATCCTTCAATGCATCACAAAGTTACAGTCCGGACAGGAATGTTGTATAAATGGGGATTACTATGTCATATTACAATAACAAAAATCTGTAATAAAAGGGGATATCTTTTACCAAAACATGGAACAACAGCCTGACCAGCCAATCAATTCTAATTTAAAAAAATTTAAATTGAGGAATCGTTGTATGCAAAAGAGGAAGAGTCATTTGAAACTAAGTCTTATTACAGTTATCAAGCACCAAATCGTTCTAATACAAGCATCTGCAAGCGGACAATCAACTTCTCATTCTTACAGCAAAAAACTCCACGTTAATGTTTGATACCCCCATGTGAATGCACCACACACCATTACAACGTTCAACCCAAGGTGGGATCTGGTATATGATCTTCTCATGAAATTGAAAACAGTTCTTGTCTCCCATATCAGCGTAGAACTTTTCCAGCAAGCGCCAAGTTACAGAAAGTAGCTATGTGCTCACCTGTAACATACATATTTCTAAAAAATCGATAACGTTAAATAAAAATAGTCTAGATTTCCATAAAAACTAAATAAAAACTCTTGTTTGGCTTGAAAAAAACATAAAAATATAAATATGTTTTGCATTATTTGTATAACTGACAACATATATTGCGTCAACATTGGTAAATAATTGTATTTTAAGACAAAGGATTGAGGGTAAACAATGCTTCTGTATATTTGAGGCTCTTTTTTCATTTAAAATCCTATTATTTAAAATGATAAAACGAAACTATTATAGATGTCTTTTAAAAAAAAATACCATAATTCAATCTCTCTGATGTAAGGTTTCTAGATTTGATCCTAGTATCAAATATTGGAATTAGATTTCCACTCTGACTTTTTACTAAGTTGAGGTCAAGACGTTTTGCCATATCGTTTAGGTTTTTGGTCTTGTCAAAACATTTTGTAGCCCTTCCACCGAGGCTCCTCGCCTATCCAATTATAGAATATTTATTTCTACGTAAATATATTTTTCACAATTTAAAAACTTGGGCACAATCGTTAAACATAAAACTGGTATTCCAAGATTTCATGACTTAGGATTAACAAAGATTGTTTGAAAACATGTATGTATGCCCCCTATCAGTTAGCCCAATTGGTTCATGGGCTCATTACATTATTGATATTTTCGACCTAAGACCCAAAGAATCAATTAGGGGTATCTAATGGTCATGGTAGTTCACTAGGTTAAATTGTGCCCATTTAAAGGGTTGTGTTTCAGCAATTTTATGACAATGTTAGTTTTAACAAATCTTACAAAAATATATGCCATAAAATTTTTATGAATGGATGTGAGGACTATAACACAAGACCTTAAAATGTGTATTTACCAAAAAAGCAGTTTTAGTTTAATCCCTTCCGCAGTTGAACATGAATTGTACTTCCCTTGACCTTTTACCAGCCACGAAACTTTTGATGCTATGCCATGCTATCATTAAGCAAAATGTTCATGATGGTGATTAATATGTTTCCATGTTATTTGAAATTTTCCTAAAAAGTAAAAACAGTTTGGAGATCATAAACCTTGACCTTATGGGGAATAACGCGGACCTTGATGTTGGAAACATATTGCAGGGAATTGTGTCATGGTGGTTTTATCAATTTGTGCAAAGTAATTTTAAAACCCTTTAAAATTTCAATAAGTTATAGAGCGGAACATTGGGGAAAAAATAAATTGTTTTTTTTTAAGATTGGACCACTTTGAAGAGTGTGACCTTGCCTTCAAAAGAGGTTGTGAAGCTTGATTGTTGGCTTCTGCCCAATGGTGTCATACGGTTGATAATTTCTCCAGGTTATCTTAAAAAACATTAGAAGCGGTTTAAATGTTAAAGGACAGAAACACGAAAATAGACTTTCTAAACATTGACCACTGTAAGAGATGTGAACCTTACCTTTTAATTGTAAGCAAAATTCTAATTAAATTGCTCCTTGAACCACAATTGTTCTAATAAGGTACACATGTGCCCCAAGTATACGGGTTTTAAAATGTAACTGGGGCGGACCAAATTGTAAACCTTTTATAACACTTGACCTTTAAAGATTGAAACCTTTGACCTTTTGGGGATAGCAAAACCCATTATTCGCTCTAGCGGCATTGTTCTCAAATAATGATCTGGTCACACCTTGTGCCAAGGCTATTTAAAAAACAGAGGTTTGAAAGTCATGAGAAAGGGGGACACGAAATGTAGACTTTTATAACATTAAAACCTTTAATATTTGTGACCTTGACACTTTGGGAAAGTGGAAACCCAAAATTATTGGCACCTCGCAACATGTTTTATTAATGCAAAATCAATTGTGCCCAAGGGTTTATTTTTTTCTCATCTGAGGGCCATGAAAGGGGCCGCCTAGATCGTTCAACCTGGACCCAATCGAAACTCATCCGAACAATTACCTTAGACAAAAGCATTCTGACCAAGTTTTCATGACAGGGTTGAGTCCCAAAAAGTGACTTACTAAGGTGTTAACAAAGGATTATCCAATTTTGAAAGCAGTGTGGAAACCTAGTTTTTTACACCAAGAAAGTGAACACATATTCGAACTTGACCTGAAATCAATCAAACAATCTTCAGAACAAAAATTTTTCAAGATCTTGGATCAAAAACAGTATCCACTTAGGTGAATTTACAAGAATTTTCCTATTTTTTAAAGACTCCGGTGACCTAGTTTTTCATGCCGAGGGACTGACACATTTTCGAATCCATTTCGAACAAAATTACCTAGACAAGCCATTTCCTGACAAATTTATAGATTGATAGAAATTGAAAGAGTCAAAAATGGAACGATAGAAAAGAATTTTAACAAGTCTTTCACTTATTTTTAGCTTCTGGTGGACCTAGTTTTTTTCATACGAGATGGACCCAATATGTTCCAAAAAACCTTCTAAAGCTATACCTAACAACAAGCATTTCCTCGACCCAAGTTTTGGGATGATTTGGCCAAAAAAATGTGACCGCTAGAGTGTTAACCAGGTTTTTATTTTTAACTCTGGGTCTTAGTTTTATCATCCGAGAATGACCCATGGGGTTCTAACTCATCCGAGCTATCAACTTGAATAAGCATTCCTCCGATTAATTTTAGATTGATGGAATTTTGGAGGGGACCCCCAAAAAAAAAAAAAAATTGTTTTGGGGGGAACCGCATAGAGTTAAAACAAGTTTTTTTTTTATTTTTGCTCTTGAGCGTGACCTGTTTTTGGACCCATGTTCAAAACTTCATCCGACATCACCCTAGACAAAGCATCCTGACCAAGTGTTGATTGATGATTTGGGAAAAAATGTGACCGCTAAGTTGTTAACAAGGTTTTTCTATTTTTAGCTCCTGTTTACACCTTAGTTTTTCGCATTCGAGAGATCCATGTTCGAACTTCATCCAGGACTATCTCAATAGATAAGCATCCTGACCAAAGTTGGATAGAATGAACTGAGGCAAAAATGTGGACCGCTAGTGTTAATGATAAGTTGTGGCGGAACGACGGGACATTTCAAACAGATCCTAAAGCTCACCCCTGAGGCAAAGCTCACCCGAGCAAAGCCTCAGGATTGAGTAAAAAAAATTCAAGCGGCCGTTAAAATTATGGGAGCGGATAGAAAATGGAAATTTTTAACTTTTGATGAACATGACTTTAAAGCTTGCACCTTGACCTTTTTGCAGTTAGCAGCCATTATTGCGTCTGCACGAATGTTCTTATATGGTGATTAGTTTTTGAACAAGGTTATTTCCAAATAATTTTTTCAGCGGTTTAAAAGTTATTGAGCGGACACGAAATGTAGACTTTTTAAGATGAAATGAAGAACTTTTTAACATTTGACCTTTAAGAGTTTGACCTTGAAACTTGGGGAAGAAAAGGATTAGCAAACCCAATTGTTGCACCTCTGCACATCCGTCCCTTTTATGGGTTTACTTGTTGCCCCAAATTAATTAAAAAAAAATTCAAGTGTGTTTAAAAAATTAGGAGCGGACAAAGGAAAAAATTTTCCGGCCGGGGGGAAGGGAAAATACGGGCGGGATGGGCAGACGGGGGGCCATTCCCATAAACCCCTTATTGGGCGGAAACCGTCTTTACGTAAAAGGTCAAAAAAGAAATTTTTACCCTTAAAACACTACGATTATTCTGGCCCGGAAGGTGGCCGGGCCTTGTTAAATGTTTACACTTCAAACCAAATTGCCCCCCACCCTTTTGGTTCGGGTCCCACAGAACCTTTTTAAAAGGGTTTTTCAAAAATGAGGGGAAACTATTTCCCGCTAGCTTTACGGAACGTCGGTGGTTATCTCCAGGTCCCCCCCCTTTTTGCCTGAAAAATGACGGAAAAGGGCCCCCAATGAAAAATTTCCCCCTCCCCCAGTAAAGCTAGAAGTGTCAAAAAAAGACATTACTGTGTCCCGGTGTGACCCTAAAATCCCAAAAAAAAAAAAAACATCTAATGGCCCAAGACCAAAGACCTTTGGGAAATTTTAAAAGTAAGGGGGGCCCAAAGAGTTGTTTAGATATTTTAGCAGAAAAAACGTTTTTTCATATAAGGGGAAATGTGATCGACCCCTGATCAAAGGGGTCATATAAATGGTGGTCAAGGGAACCAAAAAACTAAGTTCCCAGGCCTAAGCAGGCTTTTAAATTTTTTGATCGGAAAACCCCCTTTTTCCTACCCAAGGATTTTTTAGCTTTTTCCTTTTCCCCCTTTACCCCCCAAAAACAATATTTGGGTCCCTTACTTTTTTCAAAGAACACATCAAAACCCAAGTTTAAAATTCCCTAGGCCAAGCCCTTTTTAGTTATTGATTGGGAAAAAGTTTTTTCCTACAAGGGTCAATGTCCCGCTTGACCTTTTACCCCTTGGGCCCCCCAAAAATTTAAAAATGGTTAAACTAATGGTTCTTGAACAACCATTAAACCCCAAAATTTTTTGTTCCGAGGCGTGTCTTGGTAATTTTGTGGGAAAACCGTTTATACTTACAAAAGTCAGTCAGCTTGACCTTTGACCGAAGATCAATGGGGGGGTCTATCTACTGGTCCATGAACAATCGTACCAAGTCTGAAGTTCAGGCTTAAGGGCGTTCGTTAGTTATTGACCGGAAAACCATTTGGCCTACTGAAGACCGACCAACAACAAATGCAAAACAATATACCCCCACTTCTTGAAGGGGATGGGGGGGATAATTAAGTTTTTAAATGAATATCTTATTGTTTTTTGGAATTGGTTCCGACTTAATAGGTCAGAAGAACATAAAATGATTACTTTCAGCTTGTGTGAAGATGTATTTTAATATTAACGGAACAGGTCATACTTTACCCTTCCAAACTGTTCAAAATAACTGTTTGCCTCTGTAAGAAGATCTACTTTGTTGGGTTTAATTTGTTTTCCATTTAAGGTAACCATCGGACAAGAAGTTTTGAATGCTTTAATAGCAGATCCTAAACGAAACAGGCCTTGCTATGCCCGAAAGTCCCCCTGCAAACAAACATTTTTAATCTCACATTTATATGATGTACAAAATGTCAAAATATAAATACAATAGCAAAACTGCTTTGAGGACAGAAAATGTCTTCTTTTTTTTGAAAATTGAACTAAAATTTTGCCAAATTGGCAACACATCAAATGACTTACCCTTTAAAAATATTTGGGATTCAGGGAAAGCAAAAGCAAAAGTCTTTAATTTTAAATAATTACAAGTCAAAGTTTGCAACTGAACCAGAACAAAAACTAAACGAAACCTACCTACTTAGGTGATTCGGGCGTCAGAATTGAAAATTTGACCAGCAAGTGCATTTAATCAGTGCCGTTTTCTATATCACCCGTTTGGTAATATAGGACCATATTTAATTGTTACTGAAAAGTTATTGCTGCTTTTTTGAGATACAGATCTTAAAGGTGACTTTGTGGCGACAAATAAGTGCTTCGTCATTAAAAAATGCAACCAGCCCCCCTTTAAAGTCCTTAATTCCAAATGCCATGTTCCCCTCAGTCCCTTCAGCAGTTCCCAACGTTTTACGTAGCCTTAACTAGATTAAAAACGGGTTTTACTGGTTTACTATAAATTTTACAATTAATACATACGTAATCATGTGAAATGATTTTGAAAAACCAAACCTCGATAGGTCTGCCTAAAAAATAAGGGTATATAACTTTTTAATTGATTTTACGGGTTTACTCTATGACGATAAAAGACAAACATTACCTAAGATAAAATATTGGCTTTGACGCAGTCACCATACATATACATGATCCTGTTTGAAAACAAACTGTTACGAAAAATAACTTGCTATCTTTGTTGAATTACATAGTCGGCTGGCATTTTATTTAACTATACAGGATCTCTGTTATGAAGACATATAACATTTATTCTTCAAGTCAATAAGACGACTAAAGAATATCATTCTCAACATATATCAATATACAACGTTGTCTACACTTGCTTTAACAACTAAATGTAATGCTGTGTTCCCTTCGTTATCTTGGTAATTTATCTTTGCTCGGATACACTCGAAATTGTCAAGGACAAATCTTAATAATAACACTGATCCTGAAATTATTACGACATTTTATTTTTTATTATTATACAATGTTTATATATATTTTTTTCTTCATTGTTTTTCTGTAAGGTTTAACGTCGCATCAACACAGTATACAGTAGGGCATATGTCGACCTTCAGCTTCACTGAAGACTTCTCTCCCCCCCCCCCCCCCGTTAATAATTCCAGACCCGAACGGACCACCGTCGTGAGGGGGCAAGTGATTTGAAGTCATAGACCTTAACTACTCGGGCCTCTGACGGTCCTGATTATAAGTAATATATATTTCAGAAGTAGAATTCGGTTTATGGAAAATCAAGATTTCTATCATTTAATACATATAATATACAAATACGTCACTAGAAGTATTTTAAGATGCTAACTAAATGAACTTCTCCAGTAATGTTTGCACAAATAGTGTTAGACAGTTTATATTCTCTAAGATCTAGTAGTAATATTGTTACGCGCTAGCGGTCCTGGCGTCCGGATGGCCTTGGTATTGTATAATACAATATGCTATAGACAATGTAGTGTCCGGATGACTGAGTGTGTGATTGCTCGACCTTGAAACCAGCTCGACTTATTAAAAATATGTTACGCGCTAGCGGTCCTGGCGTCCTGATGGCCTTGGTATTGTAAAATGCATTATGCTATAGACAATGTAGTGTCCGGATGACTGAGTGTGTGAGTGCTCGACCTTGATATCAGCTCCACTTATATTGCTCAATTCACCAGACTGGTTATCTCAACGCTCTGAGTCCCTCGCAATATTGTCAGGATACAGGACTTTAGGGTGAAGGGCAAACAAATGGGCTATGGACTTCAGTACTCAACAAAGGGGGGGGGGTCCTCAACCAGTATGGGTAAATAAGAATTGAAATCTATCTTTTTACACAATGACAAAAGACAAGTGATAAAGTATAATCAATTTAATTTTCTGTTAAATCTAAAGCAATCAGAACACGCTCATGAAGTAATAACAAAGTTTTATGTTTTAACTACTAAATTAACACTTATTAAATTATCTACCAACCTATGGCTAACCACTATATTTACTGAATGCTAAACCCTTGTGCAAGTATATGTATAACTTATAATTTACTCTTCACCGTATATTGAACTTACAAGCCTGATTATGCAAAGAAATAAAACTGAAAACTGAAGCCTCAAACTCATATTGCAATGTAATAAATGATTTAAAATGCAGAAGTTATTTAAAGATATTTAGAAAACTCTATTATTACTTATCAATAAGAAATCTACAAAATAATATAAGATTTCTTTTACAAAAATTTTACTTTAAAAATATTAAATCTTTTATTAAACCAAGAAAAATGTACTATTAATGATTTTTGTCTAGTGTCTATTCGCTATTTTGTTAAGTCACACTAACCTTTTAGAAAAATAAATGCTTTGAATTGTTCTTAAAATATAGCTACTAGAGTAACGGTTGCCCAGGCCGAAAACAATATCTGAAGTCCCAGAACGCAGCAAGACGTCTGGTATTTATACAAAAGGGAGTCCTACCGATGTAGCATGCAACAAAATGATGCATAAATGCATCATGCTTGTGGCATTAAACAAGAACGCATCAATGCAGCATTAATGACGTAGCAAAAGCGCACATCTACTGCAGCAGTGATGCAAACTTAAAATCTTGAATAATCATACCGAGTAGACACTAAAAATAAAGATAGAAATGTAAGATAAAAATAATTACATGATAAGGACGTTTTCTACAGTTTAACAAACTGGCAATAGCTATATATACTCAAAATCAATAAGGAAAAAATATCCTTAGCGCACCGGTGTCCGTAGCAATACAACCGGAAAATGTCATAACAAAATGGCCGCCTCCTGTACAACAACAATGTGCCAGTAATTACAAATTAAATCAATAAATTTGGAAGGTTTAACATGGATTTTAAACAAGTTACTTCACACAATATAAGAAAAACATGTGTTTTTAACGATTTAAACTGGATTTATCACAAAAACTTCACAGACTAGGATAAAAAGAGAAGCAAAAGTGAAAATACAAACTGTTTGTTTACATTTTGAATAGAGACAGTGCGATGTAAAAATAAGAAATCCTGGCAAAACGCAAAGATAAGGCAAGTTGAGCTGAATATTTAAACAGTCCAACTGTCTTGATTTATACGGGAAGCCAGTGAAAGCTGCAAAACTATTTATTGTTACAAAAAGAAAAATATAACAAAAAGGACACAGAATAGATGAAAATCACCAGGTAAGTATCAGTTACCATTAAATACCGGGGCACTACACTATTGTCAAGTTTCTCAGATAAAAAAAATATTTAATGAATAAAACTGAATAAATTTTCACGAAAAGGCATACTTACGAATTCTCAATGACAAGTTTATGAGAAAGTGCAAGGAATTCGTCATTGTATACTCTTCAATAGTTTCAATTGAAGCGCCCTTCTGAAGAAGAAAAATTGCCAATCTTTCCCCATATACTGCCATTTTGTCATCGGACAAAGAAGACAGAAGTTTGCCGACAATAATGTCACCACACTTCCATTCTGAAACGTCTAGTGTATTCAAAGAATGCTGAACATTCCTAAAAAAATGACAAAGGGAATAGACATAATAAATCAGTACTAACGAGGTGTCTATAGTAAAGAATAGTGATGGTGATCAGTAAAAAAATAAGAAAATAAGAAAATCACAGACTCAGTCTGTTCAAGTCTTTTGATTTGACTGAGACTGTGCATGAGATAGTTAATAAGCGTGTTTTCGCTCCGCACCCCCGCCAGTTTAACTTGTTAATTATCGACTTTTCGCTTGGCGGGGTCGCGGGACGAAAACACGCTAATTAAGGCGGGCGCAGTGCGAAGTTTTATTTATTAAACTTTGCCCAGCGCCCCCGCATATTAGCGTGGTTTCGTCCCGCAACCCCGCCGTTTTATTTCTTAAATCTTGCTCCGCGCCCCCGCGGGGCAAAGTTGTATTTACTAAACTTCGTCCCAGGCCCTCGCTAATTTGCGTGTTTTCGCTCCGCGCCCCCGCCATTTTAACTTGTTAATTTTCGACTTTTCGCTTGGCGGGGTCGCGGGTCCAAAACATGAATGGCACAAATGAGCCACCATAGTGCATGTGAAACATTTCTCCTCTCTCAATAACCCGTTTTTACCAATATTCAGTATTTCAAATGATTTCATACAGCAACTGTAACATATACAACTCTTGTATAAATTTTATAGATTTAGAAGATAAGCGATAGCCCTGTGAATAAGTTGTCTGTCGTTTAACACAGGTTTTTTTTTAGCGCTGTAGGCATCATTACAAATTTTGCCATCTTCATTATAATTCCCGACCATTTCCGGTTTGTTCCAGAAGCAAACTCTAGAGTAGCTGAAATAATGTAAAGCATTTCTTCGAAAGTAAGCTTGAATTATTTATTATATAAAAAACCAAATTGAAAGGAATATTGTCATTTGTTGTACACTTTAAAAATAAAAACTAAATTTTACAATTTTAAGTCAAGTAGAATCTCAGTGAAACATAAGAAATGATTAGTATACCTTGAGTCATAATGTATCAAAAGCATGGCCATGCTTTCCCATTTATTCTGGTCACAAAGTTTCTTTACAACTGACAACCAAATTTTGTTCCGAGCGTCTGGTAGATGAAGATTGCGCAAAGTTGTTTGCTTTGAACCTACAAAAAGACAAGACATAAATAAGGAACAGAAATTTAATTATGTTAAAGTAAAGTTTATTAAAGTTATTCCTTAAATAATAAGTATATTAAAATGTTATTTTTGATTTTAATTATGTAGTACAGTAGCATTTGGAATTAATTTCTTTGCAATAAATAAAAAAGAACAGACAGATGGCCATGATGGCCCTGAGTCGCTCACCAGAAACAACTGTTTTTCAGTAAAAGATAATAGACTACGTAAGAATGCCACAGATACAGTTTGGTGATCATCCATCAATTAGTTCTGTAGAAGCAGACGTTTAAAGGTATTTCTATTTTTAGCTTTAGCGGCCCCTAAAAGGGGCCAATCAAATTATTATGAGCAAACTTGATAAAAGACTACCTGCCCGTACGAAATTTTGGCACTGACCCTTGGCGGAATTGGCACGTAGTGATTTCTCGGCGGGCCAGGGACGGAAACGCAAATTCCGTGTCATCCCGTCTCACAAGAAAAATATTTTGTTCACTTTTCTGGGCGGAAAACTAGAAAAATTCTGGCTGAGTGGAATTTTATTTTGAGCGAATTTATACTTCAATATTTCATCTTGAACAGAATTTTCAACTTTTAAATTTTCTATGGAAGGATTGGTCTTCACTTTGGGCGGATTTGTATACTGAAACATTTTTCTTGAACAAATTTTCACAAATAAGACATCCAAATTATAATTGTACTCTTTTTTTGCACTTGCAGACATTGAAATTTTACTTACTGTACTTTACATTATTTTTGCTGAAGTATGCTATTTGACCAAACCAATAATTACAGGTGTATTTTTAAAATTAATAGGTTTATTTTTTTAGACATTAAAATAGGCCTAAGGGTTAGGATTAGGGTTTTTAGATATTGTGGTAATTGATATATTGTCAGACTTATTTAACAAATCTTTTTTGTACTGAAAACAACTGTAATTATGTAGAACTTGAAAACATTCACCTCCAAATTTAAAATGCTAAAGTTTAGAATATAAAGATTTTTCATACAGCTTGTATATACATGCACTGTATTATGAAACTTTAAATAAAAAATACGATTTTAGGACATCATCTGTTTAATTTTGAATATACTATAGAATAAAGGACAGCCACAGGACAAGATAGTGTGCTTGCCATTTTAAATTCTAAGAATTCATTATTTTCTTATAAAAAAAATAAACAAAACAAACAAGACAAAAAACGGTGCATGAAATAATCTCATATATTATGCTCTTTTAATCTATATAAAATTGATCAACCAATATGCCCGATAATGGCTTTTATTTAGGTAAATAAATACTAAGATGTATATCTACTGATATTTTACACTACACAGTCAGAGCTCTGATAAAACTCAACTGACCAGCAGTTTCCCACCATCTATGCATGACTAATTTACTCAACTGATCATTCCAACAGATCAGGCTGTTCCATGTAATTATTTTGGAGAGAGATAAGATTATAAATTTCATTTGCAGAATTTGTCTAGGACATCGCAATTTTTTTTTGTACAAAAATTTGTAATGATTTTTAAAATCTCTCTCTCTCTCTCTCTCTCTCTCTCTCTCTCTATATATATATATTATATATAATATATATATATATATATATATATATATATATAATATATATATATATATATATTTAGTTAAGATGATGAGTAAATTAACCCTATTTTACATAATGATGGAACTTGTTCAGTTTTACAGTTGTGAAATTTGAATTCTAAGATATCTGGGTCAGCAAAAAGAGTGCAAATAATAGAGGATGTACTTGATATTTAAACAATTTTGGAGATATAGCTTTGTTTAAGATATCAAAGTGTTAAAGTATTGGTATGACAAACAAGTGTGATAACATGGGACAAGGAGATGTACAACATAATCAGGAAATTATAAACCTTAGTTACTTTAATTTTATATCAAAACTATCAATGGTAGCAAACTAATATTTGTAAAAAGAGGTCAATGTTATTTTTATATTTTCAACTTCATACATTTTTTTTCTGATAAATTGTTTTAAATATTTAATACATGTAATGTATAATTTGCAAGATAAAAATAAAATCATTCAATGATTCTATATAATGATTGTGTATATTGTATAATTAGCATATAAGTAGATCTTTTTCATATCCTGGAAATAAAACAATTTAAATCAATTTGATTAAATAGGACTAAATGGTTCAATCAGAAGTTTTGTACAGTTGAACAGGGTCATCATAATCATTTATTATTTTACATGTATGTTTTGTGTTTTCAATGGAACAATCTAAAATAACATTTTACACTCATATTTGCAGCCTAGGACTTAAGTGCAGACTGTGAGATGCCAGGTGTTTAATAATGATATGCAGTATTAAACCTGAAAAGGTATATTTTTAAATCTCAGTACTTTACTATTCAATTCAACATCTTTCCTTGAAAAAAACATAAACAGTCATAAATAGTGTCACAAATAAAGCCGTTAATTAATTCATTCTTATACAGAACATTTCTTAAACACTTGTGCACTGAAATAAGATACTGCGTTGCTTTAGTATTTTTGAATATGCATCAGCACATTTAATATTTAATACTGTCGAAATATAAAATATGATATTATTAAACAATTTGAAATATAACTGCATATAATTATGCAATAAAACATAATTCATAACAACATTTTTGTTTAATTTACTGTGAATTTTATTATTAAAGGTGAGCACAACCACAAGAAGTTCTAGGAAACACAGGCAGTGGACTTAAAATACACATTAATTAAAGAAATGGTAATTTAAATACTCAGAAACATTTGAAACAAATTTATGATTGAAACACTTCAAGCAAAAAAACCAAAGTGTTGGATTCTAAGAAAACCAGTACCACTACCAAAACCTGCAGCTAGAAAAAAAACTGTTTGTGTTATAGTGAATGTAGAGTATTCTGTTCTGTATTTGGGCTAAAAGTTATGTATTGAATTTTGTGAAAGAAAATTTAATGTGATACATTATTAATAATTTTATCCCAGAATATGTGATCATGTTAAACTCATAAAAATTCCGCCCTCTGAATTCTGTCCCAGAATTCCGCCCAGCATGTTGTTTGAAAATTCCGCTCCGAAATTCCGCCCTTAGATTCCCCAACTCATTGGCATATTTCGTCCCAATTCCGCCCAGAATCCGTCCCATTTCCGCCTGGAATCCGGCCGGAATCCGTTCCAAAATCAAATGGTTTAACACTTGTATATTTTGGGGAGAATTTAAATTTCTTGGCGAAATTTGCAATTGAACTCTGCCCCATTTCCGTGCAGAAAAGTTTGTACAGGTAAGAATGCTACAGACAAAATTTAGTGATCATCCATCAATAATTTCAGTAGGAGATGATGTTCAAAGGTTTTTCTACTTTAAGCTTTAGCGGCCCTTAAAGGGGCCAATCAAATTAATATGAGCAAACTTGATAAAAAAAAAACTACCTAAGAATGCTACAAACAAAGTTTGATGATCATCCATCGATTAGTTCCGTAGAAGAAGATGTCTAAAGGTTTTTATATTTTTAGCTCTAGAAACCCCTAAAAGGGGCCAAACATATTAAAATGAGCAATTTTGATACAATACTACATAAGAATGCTACAGACAAATTTTTGTGATTATCCATCATTTAATTAAGAAGTAGAATATGTTTAAAGGTTTTCCTATTTTTAGCTCTGTTGACTCTTAAAAGGGGCCAATTGAAATGGCATGAGCAAATTTAAATGTGACTGTCACATGGATGCTACAAATCAAATTTGAGGTAAATCTGCCCATCAGTTTTAGAGAAGATGATTGTTGACACATTACGACGGACGCCGGAGTATCCCCCTTTGATACTAATAGCTCACCCTGAAACTTCGGTTCTGGTGAGCTAAATATCACACGCCATGACATTGAGGTGTTTGCTTGAAACTTCCGTTTGAACAACATTACTGATGACCTTTGTCCCTACTCCGGAAATCACTACCTTTAATAAAAAAAACACCCTTTGTGGTGTTTACGCTCGTTTGATAAGAGCTATGAACGGGTCATTAAAAATATAGCTTTAAAAATTATGCCCATTGTCTTACAAGTGCACATTGACATGTTGATATATTTTATTTTTTTGATAAATCAATACTAAAGTGCACCTCCTCTAAATGAAGAGATCATTTTCATTAAGATCCCAATGACCTTCATCTATGAGCTTTTGATTTGAAAATAGACGTGTTTGTCGGGGGTATACTAAGAAAGACATCAATCAATAAATAAAGGTTGTATGAGGAAGCTGTAAAAATGTATTTAACCCCTAAAGGGTTATTACAATTTAAAGTAAGTCATCCGGAAGATCAGAGTCTGATTAGATTGCATGTTGATACACTGGCTTTAAACTGGTGGTAAAACTAATGATTTTCGGTTCAAGCATCTTAAGGAATAAGCTCTTATGGCTTGCAGCAACTTATTCCAAACTCCGTCCTACGGTAGAGAACAATTCAAGTTATGGACCTACCAAATATGAACGACATCTTTCATATAAAACACTTTTAAGGCTGATAAGGCCGAATGCAAAAAATATGTTTAAGAACCATAGTCCTTGGCCTTGATCCAAACGAACATTTACATCACTATAGATAAGCAGACCTATTAAATGTAAAAATCTATTATAGAATCGGTGAACCAGTGATTTAAGAAGTTAAGAAGTTAAGCCATGGTATTTACCATTTAAATATGGGGACATCAGTCAATAAAGGCTGAACAAGTGTGTGTATTTGCAAGTAAGTTTGTGTAGCATGAAACCATGAAATACAAATAAACATTAAGATACAGGTATATCCATCTGGCCGAAATATATATTAATCATACAAGGCTTTACTGACATTTAACAGTACTTAAAGGAAAAAGAACTTGAGGAAAATTACATTTACCTGTGATATTAGCATCAGATGCAAGCTTGCAAATTTCTGTTAAAAAATGCCTCTGATCTTGTTCGTTTCCATCTTCTTGAAAAACCAACCAAAGTGCATCCGCTAGGTACTTTACAGCTAGTTCTTTTTTATTTCTAGGATCGGCCAATATAGCCTGAGATGCTCTCCAATATGCCTTTAAAAAGGAAACCGTCACATAATGCATTTAAAGACAGTTTTCTTTGTATTAAAAAGATACCATAAAATATAATCGTCAATAATTTCAATATATTGAAACATTTCTCATTGACAAAGGTTATATTTCTAAAGTAATGTTATGAGAATATTCATTTTTTGTATCAATACAGGATTTGTCTTTATCGGGTGGTATGAAAATAAATATTTCATGAGTTAATGTGCAGACAGACAGACGGCGGATAGACACACGAACGGTGCGATTTTATTATGCCGCCTTTCGGGGGGAAAAAAAGGTTTGTTTGAATCTAAATTTACAGGCCACCGTTTTAAATGGGTTATACATCAAACTTTTTAAGACTGGCTATGTTAGTGGTCCCTTGGATGAGCCAATTTTGGGCCATCACTTGATCACCAGATCATATTAAAGAAAAACATTATTACTGAGGTCACCTTCAGCAAACTTTGTCAGATTTTATGTTATCACTGATTAACTTCAAAGCTCTGTCACCTGGAGAGAAAACGTAGGTCACCACGCCAGCCCGCATTTGACACGGGTTTTCATGTGCCTTTGTCAGAAAATTTATGTCGATGGCATACAGGTCATGCTTGAATAAAGTTGGGAACAAGTCCTCCAGTTTAAATCAAACATAAGCAATTTGACCAGACGTACGTTAACAATGGATCTCTTATAGAATATCAAACTTTGGTATCAAGACCTAGCCGTTTGAATGACCTAATAAAACTTAAGTTTATCAAGTTGTCAATGATGTCCTTTAAGATCGGTTCTTATATACACCTTTGCATTTAATACGCTGTTCAAAATCACAAATAGTTATTATTGTTTCATACAAAGTTGATTATTGAAGAGTGTTATCAGCACGTCAGATGATGTTCAACGTTAAAAATTAACAAGAGGGCCAATATGGCCCTAGATCGCTCACCTGACCCATCGAACTCATCCGACCAATTACCTAGACAAGCATTCTGACTTATTTTCATGACAGGCGAGTCAAAAATGTGACCAATAGAGTATTAACAAGGATTTTCTATTTTTGAGCAGTGTGACCTAGTTTTTGACCACAGGTGACCCCCATTCGAACTTGAACTAAAACACATCAAAACAACTTTTCAGACCAATTTCCAGGATATTGGGATCAAAACAGTAGCCACTAGAGTGTTAACAATATTTTTCTATTTTTAGCTCCTGTGGCCTAGTTTTTCATTCGAGATGACCCATGTTCGGACTCATTCGAGTTATTACCTACATAAGCATCCTGACAAAGTTTGATGACAATTGAGTAAAATATTTCACCACTAGAATTTTAACAAGTTTTTTTTTCTATTTTTAGCTCCTGTGGTCTAGTTTTTCATCTAATATGACCCATGTTCGAAGTTATCCGAGCAATTACCTAGACAAGCATCCTGACAAAGTTTGATGATGATTGAGTCAAAAATTTGACCACTAGAGTGTTAACAAGTTTTTTTCTATTTTAAGCTCCTGTGACCTAGTTTTTCATTCGAGATGACCCATGTTCGGACTCATTTGAGCTATAACTAAGATAAGTATCCTGACAAAGTTTGATGATGATTGAGGCAAAAATGTGTCCGCTAGAGTGTTAAAGAACAAGTGTGTAGGACGACGGACGACAGACGACGCACGACGGACATTCAACGAGCCTGAAAGCTCACCCTGAGCTAGCTCACGTGAGCTTAAAAGTCACTACTTATTCAAAATCCTCATTACTGATACCAACAGGTCAGGTTAACCATACCGATCATATTCGTCTTAATTGTTTAATTATTTGAGTACAGTTGAGTTCACACTTAAAATTACACAAAGTGCACTTGGAGTGCACAAGATGTGCCCTTCTAGCTAGTGCGCTTCAATGTGCACTTGGTGTGCACTTTGAAGTGTACTTTATACCAATTGGTTACTTTTGATCTTAACTTATGGTTGTTTTAGTGAAATGTAATGATTTTAAGCTAAATAGCCTTCAATACATTAAAGAATTTATGTGTTTATAAAACAATTTATTGCTCCAACATACAGGGAATACGAAATTTACATCACTTATAATCTGCCTTATGGGGGCTCTCTCTTATCTATAAAAAACACCACTACAAAGCATGAATGACTTTTGACACTTAAATCTTCTGTAAATGTTTTCTGCTCATGTATGACATTTCCCACTTCAGAAATTAAAATATGCTACAACTTTTAATGCAGAATGTGGATAAAAATGTTGATGAAGTCATTCTAAAATAGTTTACACTGACATGGATCTTAAAATAAGATTACAAAGTTCCACTTCAGAGACAATAATATCTAATATGCATTTATGCCATAATGATTATTTTTTAACAGTCGCTCTTAGAAAAATACCAATACCCAGCATGACTTGAGACTTTCCTCTTCTATAAAAGTATTTCCTTTTTACATTATATTTCAAATATTAAAATCCTGAAAAAAATTATCAAATTCATTTATTTAATGGAATTTTTTATAATCCCTATCTTTAAAAAATATGCAAGCATTTCACAGTTAAATATTTAATTATCACAGTATATGTCTTATTTTAGAATCAATGAAGTAATATTCTCTTTCAATATTCAACAGGAGGAATTGCCTCTAAGTTATATAGTATCATGCAGAATAGCAAAAAATGTGGATAAATATTGATATGAAGTCTTTCTAAAATGGATAACACTGATATGGATTTTAAACAAATTTTTAACTACAAAAAAAGAAGAAAATTCACTTAAGAGACAATAATATATAATATTCATTCACGCTCTTATGATAATTTTTTATATTTGATTATACAAAAACATGGTCATTTATCTATATCTAACTTGTATTTTGAAAAACCAGGGAGTGTCAAATAGATATTGCATACTTATTATAATCTGTATTTTTGTTATTTACCCTAAGGCCCTCTTATCAGCAGGAGACCGGAGACCGGTAAAATGAAAACAGTCGCTCTTAGAAAAATACCAATACATAGCATGACGTGAGACTTTCCTCCTCTATAACAGTTTTCGATTTATACATTAAATTCTAAATATTGAAATCGTGAACAAAGTTATCAGATTTATTTTTATGGATAATATTTTTATTATTTATATCTTTAAAGAATATGCAAGCATTTCACAGTTGAATATCAAATTATGTTTTAGAACCAATGTCTTAATATTCTCTTTCAATATTGAACATGAGGAATTGCCTTTAAGTTATATGTTTAGAAAAATAATAGTCTAACTTAAATATAAACCTTTCTTTGATTTGTTTAAAGAAATGAAGTTATTACAAACTCAATTAATTGGGCCAGAATTCACATTGATATTCCTATTTGTACACTAGAAAATTAAAATACATTGTCATGTGTTTTTTTTAAAACTTTATACACTGCTCCTTATTAATTCTATGAAATTGATTTTTGATGGATATTATATTAATACTACAGTTAAATACTGGTTACTGAAAATATGATTACAATAAATAAAAAAAATATTTCAATTTTCAGCTGATGTAAAATTTACTTATTTATTTTCAAGAATACGCCATGTATTACCAAAGATTGTTTTCTTAAAACAGCTAAAAAATGATGACCCCTGTCACATGTTATGCATCTATCCAATAAACCATTTAGGTGTCACCTTCCCTGGCCTGTGTGGTCATATGGTTTAGTGCACTAGAAGTGCACATGTTGTGCAAAAATTATTGAACCATGACCAAAATCAAACTTGAACTGCTTATTTCTTAAATGTATCTAAATGTCAAATTTGAGTTGAATGTGTACAACCATTTGGAAGATAATGAACGAAAACAAAAAAATTCTGATTTTTCAAGTTCAAGAGGGATAACTCTGTCATCTATCATCAAACCATGACCAAATTCGAACTTGACCTGCGCATTCCTTTGACGTATTAATAATCAAATTTGAGTTAAATGTGTAATACAGTTGGGGAGATAATGAACGGAAACTAAAAAATCGTTGAACCATGACCAAATTCAAACTTGACCTGCGCATTTTATTACGTATCCATATGTCAAATTTGAGTTGAATGTGTACAACTGTTTGGGAGATTATGAACGGAAGTTGAAAACTTTATCAAGGGGCATAACTTTGTAAAAAATCATCAGACCATGACCAAATTCGAACTCGACCTGTATTTTATCATAATATATCTATATGTCAAATTTGAGTTGAATGTGTTCAACCGTTACTAAGATAATGAAAGAAAACTGATGATAACGGAATGAAAGAATGACGGAAGGACGGAATGACGGATCAGGGTAACACTATATGCCCAAGCCATTTTATGGCGGGGGCCTAACTAGAAATGTGTCGTCACGCCACGGATGCCCCCGCATGCAGCTAAAATTTTACATGTTATAATATGTACTTCCAAAATTGTTTGCACAAACTATTTTTTTATTTAAAGTTCAAAGCCCTTAAAACTATTCAATGCTAACAAAAACCATTTTTATACAACGTTCAAGGAACTGAAACTATTCAGTGTTAACCTTTTGTTAATTGCATATTGCATATTTGTATTCAAAATAATGACTACATTCACTTCCACTTAAGTATGAGTGCTGAAAATTCAAAAATTTTCCAACATTCAAGATAGATAACTTTGTCCAAAATCATTGAATCATGACCGAAATCAAACTTGAGCTGCTTATTCCTAAAATGTATTTATATGTCAAATATGAATGTGTACAACCCTTTGGAAGATAATGAACGAAAACAAAAAAAAATCAGATTTTTTCAAGTTCAAGAGAGATAACTGAATCACGGAATGACGGAACAGCGTAACACTATATGCCTAGCCATTTTATGGCGGGGGCATAAAATACTTAAATGTTTGTTAATATAAGTGAAAATAATCTTTTTATCTTATTTCGTGTAGCAATGAGTTAACTAAATCACGTCACAGTATCCGGTAGTTGATACATTTGGTTTTCATAAGGTGGTATTAAATTCTGTCATTTCCAAATCCTTGACACAAAAATAATTAAAAACAGGTAGAAAACTATTATACCTTGACATATTTTGGACAAATACTTATTGCAGTCAATGCATCATCCTCCGACTGTTGATATAGACCTTGTCTATAAAAAACGTGTGACCTGTTACACAAAATAACGTGATGTTCATTCGCAATTTGCGGGGATATGGACGGTTGTTGTAAGAAACATAAGGCAGCATTGTACCAATGATGGGCCTCAGCTAAACGATTCTTTTTCAGCGCTTTGTTTCCATTGTCCTTGAGTTCTTTGAACATGAACATGGGATCCGCTGCAAAATAAAGTTGTGAAAATAAAACTCCTTACAATAACGAAACAAAATGTTTAAAACACAGCTAAATACGACATGATTAAACTGTGACATAAAGTGCTTGAGTATATCGCTGATTATACAAAATAGTACATGTAATTATTTTTGGTGTTTAGTCCTACCAACAATGTAAGGTCTAATTGCGACTTTCCAGCTGAGGAACAAATGACGGTCCTTGCATGCAGTCACACCAGTCATATTTAAATGTATATCTTATACTATTCTATGAAAATATGGTCTATTAGTTGCTCTTAGAAATAAAACAAACAATAAAATCACCCCAAAAAAAAACAACAACAAAAAAACAAAAAAAAACAAAAAAAAAAAACAAACATACTCCCAGTGTTGTATAGGTATCAGAGTTTAAAAAATACATTCTTGACCATTCATTTTTATTTGTCCGAAAATAATATATATCAAGAGCTGTCACAGGAGACAGCAACACTCGACTAATAAAATATTGGGCGCAGTAAGGAAGACATAACTATGAAAGAAAAATCAATTATGTATAATTATATAGTAAGTAATAGTAAAAATAACATCTGTACAAATAAATTCCAAGAAGGGGGAATAATTCTGGAAATAGTCACGCTAGAGTTATGAACCTTGTCACATAACAAGTGTGTAATGATAAGAAATATATATTTGAAGTTTGAAGTGATACATTAAAAAGTAAAGAAGTTACAATATTTCTTAAAGAAAATCCTAAGTTCAAAGAGAGATAAATCTGAAAATATTTCTACAAGAGTTATGAACCTTGTCATATAAGATGTAATTATTGATAAGGAATAAGTCTTTAAAGTTTGAGGTAGATACCTTTAAAACTAAAAGTTATAGTAAAAAATAACATTTTTCAAGTAAAAAAAATCTAAGTTGATGGGGAAATAATTCTTGCAATATTGATGCTAGAGTCATGAAAAAAAAAAGAAATAACAGTAACAAATAGTATTATTAGGGAAATTCTAAGTTCAATGGAAGATAAATCTGAAAATATTGGTGCTAGAGTTAGGAACTTTATCACATAAGATGTGGTTGTTGATAAGGAACAAATATGAAGTTGATCCCTTAAGAAATAAAGAAGGTAAAAAAGAAAAAAATGTTTTTTTTTAAAAGGGAAAATTCTAAGTTCCAAGGGGAAAGGAAAATCTAAAAAATATTGGTGCAGATTTTATAAACCTTTTCCAACATAAGAGTTTTTTTTAATGAAAAAGGAAAAATATTTGAAGTATGAATTTGATCCCTTTAAAGAAATAAAAAAGTTTTTAGAAAATAAAGGGGCCCCAAGTTTGAACCCCGGTGTTTGCTCCCGAATGGGTTTTTTTTAAACACAGGAAAGTACTTTCTTTTTGTATTTTTCAAGTTATGCCCCCTGTGCAATTTTCCCAATTTATGCGATAGTTCCAGAAAAAAGGCAAGGAAAGATTAAACGGCTTTTGCACGGGACTTCAAATAAATAAGATATATCTTCCTACAAAGATTCTTGTTGATAACTTTTTTGGTGTCCGAGTTATGTCCAGGACAAAGTTTAAAAAATGTAAAAATGACCAAAGGGCAATAACTTCAAAATAAGCCAAGGCAGAGTTACTATTCTTGTGTACTGGGTCTTATTAGAGTAATGTTTTTTTTCACAGCACTTCTACCCAATGAGATCTATCTACATACAAAGTTTTATGTTGATATCTCTAATAATCTAAGAGTTATGTTCCGGACAAAGTTCAGTGTTGAAATGAACAAAGGGCAATAACTCCAAAATAAGGCAAAAAAAAGTTATGGTTCTTGTGCAAGGCACATCTACTCATTGAGATCTACCTACACAGTTTCATGTTGATATCTCTTATGATTTTTGCGTTATGTCGCGGACAAAATTTTTCTAAAAGGGGAGATAATTCAAAAATGGAGAAAAAACAGAGTTATGAATCTTTTGCACTGCACTCCGCTTCAATGCCCTCTTTGTGTGAAGTTTAAACAAATTATCTCTTTTTGCACTTCTACCTAATGAGATCTATCTACCTACAAAGTTTCATGCTGATATCTCTTATAATCTTAGAGTTATATTCCGGACAAAGTTCAAAGTGTAAAAATAGGCAAAGGGTAATAAATCCAAAATTAAGCAAAGCAGAGTTACGGTTCTAATGCACTGCACATTTTTCATTGAGATCTATCTACCTAAAAGGTTTCATGTTGATATCTCTTATAGTTTTAGAATAATGTTTCGGACAAGATTTTTTCTAAATGGGGAAATTTTTCAAAAAATGAGGCTGAACAGATTTATGGTTCTTTTGCACTGCACTTTTACTCAATAAGATATATCTACCTATAAAGTTTCATGTTGATATCTCTAATAATTTTAGAGTTATGTTCCGGACAAAATTCAAATTGTAAAAGTTATCAAAGGGCAATAACTCCAAAATTAAGCAAGGCAGAGATATGTTCTTGTACACTACACAGCTACTCATTGAGATCTAACTACCTACAAAGTTTCATGTTGAATATCTCTCTTATAGTTTTAAGTTATGCCCCGGACAAATTTTTTCTAAAAGGGGAGATAATTAAAAAAACGGTGCAAAAATAGATTTATGGTTCTTTGACACCCGCACTTTCGCCTCAATGCCCTCTATGTGTGAAGTTTAAACAAATTATCTCCAAGGGTTTCTAGTTAAATGCTCCGGACAAGACAACGGACGGACAGAAAGACAGACGGACGTGCCAACAATTGGGGCTAATGTGCTTTTTTCTTTGACCTTTTATGTGGACATTTTTCCCCATAAACCAGTAAAATTACCACCAGTCGGTTTATGGGATTTCCTTCTTTTTTAAACTAAAATTATGGACGGAAATGAAGCTCATAGACCATTGGATGTTCGCCCGGACAGACGGAAGGACGGACAGACGGACAAGGCGCGACTTATTCTCTCCCTTCGGAGAGCATAAAAAATATTTTCTGCACCAAAACTTTAATCTGAAATCTAGACGAAACGCCGGGGCGAGTCATAGGACAAGCTGTCCCCATATACTTCGTAAAAATGTACATGTCACAAATAATATATGTGTACATAATCTTGCGTTCACTTTTGGCCCAACCGGAAACAATGCCAGCCGCTGATGTTGGCGAATTATTGCATTTTTTAAAGCTTATTTTGGAGTTGCAGTAAAATTGAAAAATAACATACATTCCTTAGTAATACATTCAATTTTTCCGTGGCCTACTTCCTGTCACTAAACATACAACCTTTTATCAAAGAAAGATTTAAACATTTAATAGATTGGACCTTTGATGCTGCTTGTATTGTCTTCAAATAATGGGAATGGCCCTGTGAATATGCAAAGACGGTAATACCCGTTTTTTTAGATGGAGCAAAGAGGGGCTGATATGGATATGCACCTGTGCGAATAATTGATATCTATTTTTTGGATAAAATCACTGTCGACGATCTATACATGTATTTAGTACATGCGACGTATTCATTAAAAATCCGAACAAATCTGATTTATAAATTAACGAAAAATTTGTTAACTCAGCGGTTGAAAAGCCAGCATCCTCGGCATTGCATGATTAAATGTTTTTAGTACATGTTCAAATTCATTTTTCTTTTATGTTTATGAGTCACAGGAAATATACCAGCATAGGTCAAGATATCGTCAACAGAGAGCTTCTTAAGAATGGCAAGAGATGTTGATAATCATTGAGTACCTACAAAGTGGAAGACTGAATAAACTTGGGCTGGGAAGATTCAAGGAAGAAGCTGCTATTCGTGATTGCAACTCCAGTTTGCAGCAAACTGAAAACAATAGTGCCATTTCGTCATCAAGCCACCAAGAAACCACGGCTTTTTGGACCACTTAATGCGGCCGAACAAAAAAGGCATTTGATCAGGCGGATGCAATTATGGGACCCATGTGTCGACTTGGTATGGCAGTAAATTAAACTCAGTGATGAAAGCAAATTCCCAACCATGTTTCCAGTGATATGGACTTGGTTTTGATAGGTTGCGTTAAGGGACAGTTCCTTTTCTCGATAAGTGGCCAACTGTCAAGTTTAATGGTGGGTGGTAATATTGTAATGAAGTGATAAAACGATACTATTAAAATTTTTGTGAAAAGAAGTTTAACGTTTTTAAGAAATATCTTGACATTTTGAAACCATCTGTGCAATTTTAGCTCTTTATGTGACATGATGGAGATGTTTTATTTTATCAAGAAGATGATGCACCTGTCATAGAGCCAAGGTTGTGAAAGACTGACATGCCACTAATGGTATTTGATGTCCTTCAGTCACCAAATTGAACCAAATTGAAAATTTGTGGCATGACATTAAGGTCTCCCTCAAGCACAAGCAGCATCACAACATGCAGGAATCGGCTGCTAATGTCAGGAATGCTGGGGCAAGGTGATTGTTGATAGGTGTTATTGTTTTTTCTTCTTCAAATTTCTGGTCAGGCATCAATAAACTGAATGACCGCTAAGATTTCAAGGCCTATGCGACACCTAATATGTTGTCTATTGTGTGACAATTGTTCAAAGAGACATTTGTCTAGAAAATGAGTCAATGTATGATCCTTAAAACTGTATCTACCTATAGTCTACTATTATTCGCAGACATAAGACACAGACCCCAATTTTTAAACGTTTAACCAAAATTCCCCCTGGGTTAAAGTTACCCCAAAATTTTATTAGGGTCCCGTGTCTTAAAGTTCCCGCGAATAATAGTAAAACTAAAAGGGAAATACAGTTTAAAAAGGATCATACATTGACTCATTCATGTTAAAGTTTTCTGTGGTTTAAGAAATGTTTTGAACAGGGTTCAATGCGCAAGGCAACTGGGATAGCAGTCAATGGAATTACTTTACCATAATACTCAAAAGCAAAACAATATCAATTTACATGTTTACCATTTTATTTACGAATGATTACAGACTGTGCAACTATTTCATTTACATCATTAAACATGAAATTTAGATTAT